CTTATGATCATTCCTAAACAAAAGTGTTGTGGGTAATTCTGTAGGTACTACACTAAGTGACAAGATTAAAATGAAAAAGGCATATCATAAGATAGATATTTAATTGTACAGTATACCTTAATTAAATAATATTTATTCATAAATTTAATCAGCTTGTGAAGTAATTTGCCTCCAAGGCACCCAATTAAAATAATGGCAATGAAATCTTTGCACAGCCAGACAGGTACTCAGGATCCAACAGCTTTCAATGAAAAAGACTCCCTGGTGCATACGCCCAGCACCTCTGACGGTCTGGTCACTTCAGCTAAGGACGGCAGTACTGAGCTGTGAGGCAAGCCCCAAGAAGGCTTTTAATGCAATCATTTGGTTTAGGTACCCAGCACTTGAAGCTGGCTGTGCTGTGGTTCTTCTAAGAGAAGGAAAATATCCTTCCCAGAGGACCAAGGGCTTCTGTCCAGATGTGGGATGGACTCAATGACAGCTTTGGAAAGGTGAAGACACAGCAGTAGTCAGGTCTGCTTGAAGGGCAACAGGGCTGCAGTGAAGGGAACCAAGAACCAGTTGTTCCTTTGAGCTTGGACACCACTTCTTATTCTCATTCCTCATGTTGTGCTGAGCATTTTCATCCCAACAGGACTCTAATGGACCTCAGTCATCTCTGGGAAGCTTTTCTTACTGAAGGTTTCTACCTTTTTGCTCGTTTGTATGTCCCCCAACCTGGGATATACCAAGAACAATGAGTAGTTTACTTCTTGGTCCTACTTAAGACAGCAGGATGTCCCAAGGGCTGGTCTAGGAGAGGCAGCCTTTACATGCGCTGCTGCTATGCAAAAGAGGCTTGTAAGTGAAAACACTACCGCTACTAAATTTATTTAGCTCAGACAGGAACTTTGCCATAAGTGATCTTCTCATGTTACCTGCAACATCTTTTCTCTACTGACTTCCAAAACAGGGAGACTTTGCCAGGCAAAAGTTTATTTTCTGCCATAATTTTCTCAACTGCCTTTTTCCATTTTCAGATTCAGAATATTTTTTAGCCTTATCTTGCACTAACCATGTCTTCTACAAGAATATATCATCAATAACAGATAAGGCTGACTAATAATTATTTTTTCCTTTTATTTTAAATGTGAGGCAGGTGATTTCCAGCTGCCAAGTCCTGCAGAACAGGACTAAAGACCCAGCCTGAGCCTTCCAAAGGAGTGAAAGGGAAATTAAGCTAGCATAAGAGGCAGCTTTTTCTTAGTCTCTAGGGAAAAGTCTACCCATACCTCTGTATTTCACAGGCACAATCAGATAGCAGAGCTCCAGCTGAGTCACTGCTTCTCTAAAAAGGCTCAGAAGCAGGGTATTCATATCTCCAGCTGCACAAAGTCACCTCTGTGGGTAAACCTGACATGGTAAAACCTGGCCATGCTCTGCTGCTGCTGGATTTGACCTGACACCAAGGATGTAATTCCTTAAAACTCTGGGCTTAATTCTCACCCCAGTTTAGACACCTTATGCTTTTCAGCTACATTGATGCAGATACTAGCCATGCTTGATTTACCAATAAACCAGAAACGCCTATAAATCCTTATCTAACTTATTTTCCAAACAAGGCTGAGGTGTTTTTTTTTTTTTTTTCCCCCCCTAAACCTGTTGTATGGTACCCTGGAAGGATCACTCAGAGTCTTCAGTCCCTTCCAGGTTAATGCAGACTTTTTCTTGAAGTCTGGGGAGAGTTTTCTATTTCTTCTTTGATTTGGGGATCTGTATAACACTGGGAGATTGCATGACTCACACATGCAGTAATTTTTAACACTTACCCTGAAAGATCCACGAGAGGCTCCTCTGAGAAAGTCTTGCAGCAAGTGCTTAGCTTTGTCAATGGCATAGCTGTGACCAAAGACACCCCCATCTGAAAAATGAAATGCCCATAAACCAGAAAGATAAATATCAAAGCTTTTCCAGTCCTCACTGTCAGGATACTTATAGAGCCAGTTGACTGCTTCAAGAATAGAGGAGCTTTCCTGGCACGAGCGTGCTCATGGGGCCCTACCAGAGCTCAACAGGTAAAACCCTACATTTAATCATTTTAGGATAGTGCTGAGCTGGGCTGCTCAGAGATGCATTTAAAGTGTTACAGTTTGAACATCAGACCATCAAAAAGTCAACACTCAGCCCTTGAATACTGGTGTTGGTAGAAATCTGAAAAATGAGGTTGTCCCAGAGCACTTTGCTGGCTAGAGAGCAGTGTGCCCAGGTCCAGCTGGGCAGATGGCACAGCTGGGAATGCACATCACACCTCCACACTACAAATATCTTCTAAGCTAAAAGAGCTTAAACACTGACTGTGGTGTGGGAGCACAGAAAGGTCGTGGAGAAAATCAACCAAACAACATGGCTGCTTTGCTATTATATTTACAATCGTACTTTCTATGGTTTGGCAAAAGTCTGCTTAATAGCTGAGAAAATTTCCCCTTCTGAAATTCAATACTCGGAATTCCCTTCTCAAGTTCACCACTGTATTTATCATGGGAAGACAGTGTGCTATGTCAGATCTCCTGATCAATATTTCCTTTTGCACCAGTGAATTTCCAAAGGTACTTGAACCCAACTAGAACAGGTTAAAGTCTGGTGTAACTAGATCTACCCTCATTAAAAATCACTTAAAAAATCCCATCCTATGATGTCATGTAAGTCAGGACTGATAAAAATAAATGCAGCTGGAAAGCATGCTCTTTTAAAATGACCATGTCTCTCTGTCTTGACTTACATCTTGATGCATGAAGAATTTCACAAGACCCATCATATTGCTTTTCTCCATCTCTCTGGTGTTCATCTTCTGGCCAGCTTCTGATTTACATTGGTCTGAAGTCAAGAACAGGTTGGTGAAGTTTTGGTCACCTGCAAGCAAAAAACAGAAGAAAAATATGCTTGTTTGTGAAATATTCATCTGAGGTTTGAAACTCAGGATTAAATTCTTGGCTCTCCTATAGAATCCCAATGGCTGTCTGGGCAACCAACTTAGCTCTGAGTCCTGGAGCTGGACTCCTTTTCCTGTTTTATATAAGCCCTGCCAGGTCTCATGTCTCATGTGTGTGTATCTCACAGACAAACAATAACTAAAGGTCTTACATACCTGAACTCTCCCTGACTCTCCTTAAATCAGTGTCTATAGTTTAACTCAGTGACTAACACTACAGCGTCCAAGTACTCAAGTAGGTCAGTTGCTGCTCTAAAAAGCATTGCTGGAGAGAGAGTGACCTCTGAAAATGAAGCCAAGAGAATGACATGTAAAGCACCGGGTATCAGGTTTATACCAAAACACAGACCAGAGTTACTCTCCAGAAAAAGGTGATGGGAATCTGATTATATTTCTCTATTATGCCTGTATATTGTCCCTTTGCTTTAGTTATTTGTCTGCTATAAGCAACCACCTCAAGTAGATGACTTCTTCCTGCCTTCTATCATCCCTTTCCACTGCAATCCCAGCAGCAAGAATCATGGGTTAGTGGTGAGGGCCCAACATAATTTTCACTCTTTTCCCACTCTACCTTTATGCATCATCTCCATTTCCCATTTGTCATTCGCTTCAATGCAACGCTTTCCATCAAAGGCTGTCCCCAGCCAAATGGGGAGTGAAGGGAACTGATGCTCTTGATGTGGAGCCTCCTGTTTTGATGCATTTTTTTCAATTTGCACTGGAAATTGTTCTCTCTGACCACCCATTTGTTTTCTTTGCCAGCAAAACAGAGAAGCAGCCTCTCATATCATGTTTGGATGGGGCAAAAACCAGGCAGAGCTTAGTCATTTCAGTTTTGTTTTCTTTCCAGGTGTGTGCAAGGTTTGTGCTGAATAACTAATCTGATTTTCTACCCACAGAACACACAAAGAAATTTCCAAGGCCTCATCATGAGCCTTGGAATATTCAGATCATCCTCACTTTATTTACAGGAGTCTGTGTTTGAATGCTTTGCTTGTTTTGAAAATTTCAGCCCAAGGAACAAAATAAGGGCAAGAGGCTCCAAATTTAGAAGAGAATGATATCTGCCTCCTGAAATGATCCCACCACAAAACTGTTGTTATTTCCCCCCGGAGAGATATATTTAAATGTCAACAAGCTGGTTTGACTTAGTTTGAAATACAGAAACTCCATCCTTGATGAACAGGTGTCAGATGCCATCACACTTACCTTAGGAACCAGGGCTGGAAGAAGCATAAGGAACCCACACAGTCTGTCCTACTGGTTTTATGCCTGTGTGTGCAAAGTGGCTGTAACGTGACCTCCAGACCCAAGTCCCAAGTTCAGAATATCTCTTCTTACCCAAGATGGAAATTCCTTGTTTCAGGCACATCGCCATAACAATTATCACAGTTGGCATTGGAGCAACCAAGGAAGGCAAACGAGGGCTCACCAGAGCACAGCAAGAGCACTACGCTAACACTTGCAAAGATTAATTGGCTCCTTCCACCAAAAATGTGCAATTCCATCAGCAACCTAGAAGCAACAACTGAAAATATCAGACAGATGGGAACCCAAAGTCACAGCAAGACAATTACTAATGGGCAGTGATGCTGTGCACCCTCGGCTGGGATAGCACTGTGAACAGTGGGTTGCTTTCCCTTCTATCTTGTGGGCTACATACTTAGAACAGCAAAGAAACTAGTAACTCAGTCTCATGTGTTTGATGACCTCCTTCATGTTTGCTTTGTGCCACTGGGGCAAAGTTGAGCAGACAGTGCTTGTCTCTGCATCCACCTCCTTGATATAGAGCCGGGTGGAGAATAAGCTGCAAACACAGTTGAAACATGCAAAGAAATGTGTCCATCTCTAGATGGATCCTGCAGATGAAGGTTAAGATGGAAAAAAGAGATTTTATTTGGGGAAAGGTCTCTTCTCTGCACAAAACCGTCAAGTCCTATGTACATTCATAAAAAGCTCACCTTTCCTCCTTTGTGCAGACACAGCCAACATCTCACCATCCTGACTTTCCTTCTTTCCCTTGTTTTTCCAGTGCTGAGTGTCCTTCCCTGGATAATGAGGCTATTTCAGAGGCTGGAAGACTTCCCTGAGACAGAGTCTCATGATTTTTACTGGTGTAAAGAAAAAAAAAAATAGAAAAGAAGAAAGCCAATTTCCCTACCTTCTATTAAGCAGGAGATTGTGCATGGGTGATGGAGGAGAACGCTCCTGGGAAGAAAACAGATTTCAGTGTCAAGATTGCAAAGGGTTATTAATATAAACAGAGGACATAAACTAAAATGATTGCTGAAAATGATGAAAAATATCTCAGCATTATCCTCCTTATGTTGCTTGCTCATCATTTGAGAGTTTAAAGGACAGAATCATCACACGGATCCAAAACACTTCCTGGAAACACTCCTGTTTGCATCCAAGCATTCATGCATTTATTCTCCTGTCTGTGTTAGCGGTTGCAATCGTGAATAAAACTTATCTACACAAAGCAGATAAGCAGGCACTTCTTTATTCCAGCACTGGGGAACATGGGGGATAGCTCCACCAAAAAAAACATGTTCACCGACAGATACAAAGCACAACATCTTTATACACTTTTTCAGCAGAGTCATGGTTACATAAGATCAACAAAATTCACAAAGTTTAGTTTGACCTTAATAATGGTTGGCTTTCAGTTACCTCACCTTACCTATATTCCTATTCTACAGAAATCATTGGTCATCTTTACTGATTGATTTGGATAGAATGAGGGGAGAGTAATGATTAGCATATTCTTGTTATTTCCTGGAAATGATTATCGTATGCAAATGTCCCTAACGCATGTGTGGTTATGTTGGATGGGGGTCCTCTGGTGGTCGTCAATAGTCTTCATCACTGTGTCCGCTGATTGAACTCCATCCCTGCTCATGCTCATTTTATCTTTGGCTGATCTTCCCGACCAAACCCAGTTTCTTCTGGTACCTGTTCTTTCAAATCAAGATCCATAACTAGTACCCATTGTTTTGATTCAGAGTCCATAACGATTTCCATAGTAATCGAGGCAAACACAATGCTAGTTGCTCCTAAGATCTTAACATATCATATGTTGTCATAGCTACTATAACCTCATTTTAAATCAAAGCCATATTTTAAACTAAAATCAAAATAATATTCTAGGATTCAAGCTATTTTGTTAAGGTAACTGCAACAACTGTGGGATGCATAACTGACCTGCTGTATTTAGGAGCTGTGGTTATCAGAGCAGCTTCCTTCTAGTTAGGGAATGCAGCAAATACAGTTGCCTCAATATTGTTCATGTTTTGAGGGGAGGGAAGAGGTTTTGATTGAAGTTGTAGACTGGTCAGTAGAAAGAAATAGTGAAGGATGTAGGTGTGGTCCTGTGTCCCTGTGATCCTAAAACCCTATTGTATGCCTTCAAGTGGTACCTAGCAGCCTTTCTAAAAGCTTTAATAGCCAGATAAGACAATGCTTGAATTTCTCTACTCTAGAAAAATTGTTTTCTTCTTTCCTCTTTCCACCACTCCCTCCACCCTTGGAAGGCTAGCTACATTTAAATTTAAAACTGAGAATCAGGTTTCCCTCTCCTATCTTAGAAGATGAACATATGTACCTAGAATTGCCTTTGTTTAATAACATTAAAAAAGGAGAAGAAAATAAATGGTAGAAACCACCAAAATTCTGATTTCTGTGCTGGCACATGGCAATGAAACATGTTAGGAGATATATGCTCTGGGACTGGATTGCTCTGAATGACAATGAGAAAACCATGTGCAGATGTTGCAAAATAGACTTACTCTGTGCTGGGTGAGACTGTAATACCTTGCTACATCAAGTAAGCACAACCATGGGTTCAGTTGTTTACCCATTGCTATTTTGTTCAGCACCTTTTTGTCTTTCTCAGACTGAAACAAGTGAAAACCATGCTTGATACCCATGGCTATTCTCCTATGTGAAAAGCAGGTATGTTTTAAACAGTAAGGCTGGTGAGAGAATCAAATCCTGAAGACGCACAAGCCTTCCTTTTGATGGTTAAGTTTCTTTTCATGTATTTGCTGATTATGATTTTACATCATTGCATATCTACTAATGTTATGACAGTACATTCATGCTGATACTACGGTCACCTACATATTTCATAAGTATCTTCTAGTTATAGAGACACAGTAGCAAAACAGGGACTCTGTAAATAAGTACAGGATAAAACTGTTGAGGTGCCTTGCACTGCTTTGCATACACCCCAACTGTCATGGTTAATGAGGAAAAATACAAGGTCCCTGGAGAGCTGAACTCTAGCTCTTCCTCTTTCACAGAAAGTGCCATTTTCTTTGTGGCATTGATAAATCACTCCCCCATCTCACTCTCCACACTCTAAACCTCCACATTGTCTCTTGTGACAAGGGAGCTCTATGGGATTCCCTGACACTCCCCCTTGGCAGTGCCCAATGCAAGAAGCTGCTGAAACAACAGGAGCCTCTAGAGCCTACAGTAATAAAAATAATCATCCCTGAGCAACACTGCATATTCTGCATTGGTCTTGTCCAGGAGGTGCGTAACCATCACCTTCAGTTCTCCAGCTCTATTTGCTGATGTTTTTTTTAATTAGAAAAGCCAGGTGTAAGAGAGCAAGAAGACCCAGGACCAAGGGTGACCACAGCACAGGCAGAACAGTGACCTCACCGATCAGGGAGCAGCCCCACAGCACCCAAACAGGGTGGGCAGAGCAGGGAGCTGACAGCAGAGTCCTCTCGCAAGTAAGGCAATGTCACAAATCAGTCCTGTGGTCTTTTCAGGGAATGCAGACAGGAGCAGTAGAAGACAAGCCCCAAATCAGGACTAAAGACAAGTACACCCACAGTATCAACCATACACAGGCTGCAAGTCCTGATCTTAAATGGAGCTCCTGGAGCCATGGGCAGAGCCAGTGGGGTAGGAGTCCTAGGTGAGGCTGGTCAAGGCAATTAGGCCTTATTAGTGCACATCAGGGCTGCCTGCTGCCCATCTACTCTTAATTTAAACAGGCTTGTACACTGGACAGAAGGAGGCGGGTACAAGGGCGCAGTTCATGGCAAAGCCTGTGATGCAGGTACCTTTCCAATGAGAGAAGTACTGTAGCACCACAGTAGCCTGAAATGTCAGTGTTGCTTTGCAGCGCACAGCAATAGAACAGATCTTCACATTCCCCAAAAATCCTACTTCCAAAATTGTACCACAAATTCAGAGCTGCTCTGTGTAACAGGAAAAAACATCCACAGGGATGGATGTCAGCCACTGAGCAGAGTGAGGAACAGAACACAAACCACAGCAGTAGTGCAGTGAATACCAGCACCGTACCTCTGCTGTCCAGCCACTATATGTTTAAGGATGACCTACCAAGCTATCCAGCTGAAGAGTAGTGGTGTTTTTTTCTCATTATTAAGGGGTAACTGCTTTTCTCCCAATCAGTGGGAGATTGTTCCATAAAGGAATAGTTGTCCTTTTTCAGGAGAAAAGTATTCAAAACAAAATTTGTGATTACATGAATGCATTTTGTTTGTATCTGTTAAGCTTGTTCAAATGCAGGGGAAACTCACGTGCTGTTGGAATAGTGCTTTGGAAGATGCTTTCCACATGTTTACCTCCCACTAAATTGATTAAACTCAGAACAGAGATATCTTGGGCCAAAAACTAAGAGTTTGAGCAAGTCTGAGAGCCTGTTTCAGCTTCCCATATAGCAGACAGGAACTAGTGAGAGAAATCACAAGAGGAAGAGCTAATCTGGGAGGCAGGCTCAGTTCCCAGCCTCTCACAGGCTGTCAGTGCAGAGGAGTCGTGGGATGCAGCTTGCAGCTTTGCATAGCAGAGGCGGTGACAGTGTAAAGCAAGGCACTTCCCATGCTGTGACCCTGCAGTTAGTGGTTCTGGGAGAATGGCTCACAGCACACTCCTGTTCACCTATGGGCCCTGTGGCATGCAGAGGGATGCCAAAAGAGTCCTGGGGCTATGTACCACAGAAAATTTATGCAGCCCTCAGCTATAAATGTGCAAGAATACAGACCCTGTTAGGGTTTTAGACCCTTATTTCAGCTCCTCCAAGACACTTCAAGGGTGTTCAATCAGCAGTTCCCCCTCACCATGATCAAATCACTGCTGTGACACCTTTAATTTTATTCTTTTTGACAAAAGGCCTACTATGCATGTACTGTTCCATGCAGAGAGGAAGAGAAAGCGGCCTTGTGCTCAATGTGGCAGGCAAGACTTGGGTAGCCACTGATTTAACATCTCCTACAAGATCCTGGAAAGGCACAGACTGTCTGGCTGTGGGACTGAATGTGTGGCTTGTTGTGTTTTTAGCCAATCTGCAATCTTTTGCTTCACTGCAGTACGACAGAGAAAGCCCTCATTCCCACCACCCTTACAGTCAATCAGGCCTGGAGGGCAGACTACCGAGCACGTACACAACCACAGCAAGCTCAGTGTGCATACAGCAATCTGCTAGAATGGCATTGCACCCAATGGCAGGTAGATTTTGGCCCTGCAGCTTCAAGCCAGCATGGACTACTTCCAGGTGCTTATGTGCTGGTGGCCCACACTGTGCATAGGCTCAAGGAGCCACTCTCCTGTTCCTTATCCTGGGAGCCAAGCCTCAGGCTGTGGTACCATCTGTCTGTTGACCATCTGAAGCAATTGCAGGAGGTCTGCCATGGGCCAGATATGGATTAGAGCTAGCTGCTTTCCTCCAGACAGAGTATTTCTGGTCCTATGGGAGGTCTCACAGTGCTGCATAAAAGAAAACAGTGCCCACAGTACCTGGCAAAGTAGAGGCACCAAGAATCACCAGCGGCAAGCGCATGAACTCAGGTTTTCTGAGTCTCAGGCCTGCACATGAGCCATTAAGCCAAGCAGGGACAATCTGAATACATTCAAGGAATCTTCTTTCTCCTTTAAACACAGTTACTGTTTGACAGCAGACTGAAAATTAACACAGTAATCATTCTGCTATGCACTATTGGGTGTTACTGTTAGCAAGGCCTTTGCTAACCACTCTAATTCCTGAAATAGCTACATGAAAATGGGGTCAGTAAAGTGCCAATTGTTCATTTAAATTACAGGGATGGAATCCAGGCTCTAACAATATTTGCAGAATCAGGCTTCAAAGGAACACAGGTGGCGATAATTAATTCCCAATTTCCTCCTTTTGCCCCGACTGACCTCCATGAAGAAAAATTGTCTGAAACATGAAAGAGTATTAAATTGTTTCTTCAGAAGCACCTCTGATGAAGTAAACTGTATCAGGATAAAGGAGCAATTCTGCTCATTCTGCCCACATACAAGAAGCTGATGACCTTTTGCTTCAGTAGTCTGAATCACATCCAGCATGGATACTACTGAAGGACTGTTTACTGGAGGAAGGCTGTCAAGTTTGTACGTAACTCTTCCAAGGATGAAATAGGAATTAGAACCTGAAAGCAAACAAAGAGGTCTTTGTTGAGATGACGTGACTTTACACTG